AATCAGCAGAGCAGCAAAGCTGGGGCAGCAAGAGGCTGCACAAAGCTGGGGCACGAAGAGGCTGCACTGCTCTGGCTCAGCAACACAAAACCTGGAGTGTGTCGAATCACCTGAGGGATTCAACACAAGAAAGCTGCAAACACAGGTTATTCTACATCCACATCACAACAGTGCAGTTCTCCGGTGCCAAAGTCCTGCCCAAGCCAGAACTGTAAGAAGTCAAGCTGCAGGACAGGCAAGAAGCAGAAATATTGCAACAGCTCAGCTCGGGAAACCCAGGTGTCCACACAGCTCGGCAAGTCCCTCTGGAATGATCCCTCTGTGGGAAGAAAATGTTCCATCAGGTACTTTCTGCCTCTTCCTCGTTTTTGAGCAGTGCAAGAGAACGTGGCAGAAATGCTGCCAGAAAGTCCTGCAGCAAGAGGGAAGTAGCATTTCCCTCAGAAACCTGAGCTCTCCACCAAGTGACAGCTCGTGGTGCTGGTGCTCTTTGGCAGGTTCTGGGGTGACCAGGTCACCCCAGAACCTGCCAAAAAGCACCAGCACCACCAGCAGCTACTCAGAGATCCCAGAATGAGGAGATTTAACTTCCCACTTGATTCCCAGGGGGCTGAATGTCAAGCAGGAACACGATAAACTGATCAGAGTGCGAAAAAAAAAAAAAAAAAAAAAGATGCAGTTTTGTGAAGGGAGGAGAAATAATCCCTTCATGGATGAGTTTCTTTTAAAATATAATGTTCATATTTCGAAGGGAGAAAAGAATTTGTGCTTCAGAAATGTGGGTGAGTCAGCAGAGTTGGGGAGAGGGAGGGAGGGAGGGAAAAACCAGAGTGGGGCTCTAAAAGGAAGGGATTTCTCTCCCCAGGAATATTATTTAACACTAACCCTTGCCCAATTCAATCCAAACCAGCATAAAAAGCAAAACCTGCTCCGTTGCAAACCCTGGAAGATGGTGCCAGGCAATATTTCTCAGTGTTTCCAGAGGATGGAACTGCAGGTGGTGTTTCCACAGCCTGGGCAGTCCCTGCGGTGCTGCTCGGAGGCCCCCAGGTGGGCAAAGAGCCTCAGAGCACCCGCAGTGCAGCACCTGCAGGGCTCTGCTGGCTGCACAGCAAGTTCACAAAGCCCCCCAAAACAAGTGTTTCAGCTCGGTCAGGCACCCCCCTTTGAGAGTTCTCCCCCAGAACTGTGCTCTACAGGCCGGGGGAGCCTTCAGCGGGGAGCTTGTCCGCTGGCAAAGGAAATTTGGATAAACGCACACTGAATTTGTTCCCAGAATCGTTTCCTCGTGCAAAAAAAGACTTTTTTTGTGAGGTAGGTCAGTTCTTTCTGGCCCTGCAGAGCTGGCATGTGGATGGAGCTCCAGGTTCTCAGGCCAGACAATGTAAGAGTACTGTTAAAAACCGACTTCTTTCCTGTGTGAGCAGGGACAGGACCCAGGGAAGGGCTGGAGCTGTGCCAGGCAGGATCTCAGGACAAGGTTCTTCCCCCAGAGGGTGGTTGGCACTGAACAGGCTCCCCAGGGCACTGCCCCCAGAGATCCAGGAGTTTTAGGACAACACTCCCAGGGACAGGGTGGGATTGCTGGGGTGCCTGTGCAGGGCCAATGTTTGGATGAATGATCCCTGTGGGTCCCTTCCAGCTCAGGATATTCCATGATTCTAAAGCCACTTCAAGGCCCTGTTATACTGTGACACATTCCACTGGTGACCAGGGTTAAAACACAACGGTGGATCCGCCAGCAGGGCCACGTCAGTGATCATAAAATCACTTCAAAGAGGAGCAGGGCTGGGATGTAACCCATGTCTGCAAACTGAAACACAGCTCTTGGGTTCTAGAAAGATACCACCAAAAAAAAAGATCTCCAATTTCTGTAACCTCTGGACTGACCAACGTGGAGGTGAATCAAGGATGCAGCCCGAGGTGTCTGAGGGCAGGGGGGAATCCTTACCTGGGCAAAGGTGTCTGAGGGAAGGTGGGACCCTCACCTGAGCAAACGTGTCTGCTGCCTCTTCCTGATGGATGGGTTGGATTCAAAGACGTGGGGTCGCTTCCGTTTCTTCCCCGTGGCCACGGCAGCGGCTGCTGCCATCCCAACAGGGCCTGGAAATGCAAGCACAAGGGGGGAATCAGCACAGGCAGCTCGGGAACTGGCCACAAACATTGCCATTGTATCCCCCCCTGCCCAGGGATGTGTCCCAAGGCTGTCCAAGTGACACAAAGTCCTTCCTGAGCTCTCCTCTCCAGCATGGCGGAGGTTCCACCAAAAGGTTGCGTTCCCCAGATCCCAGCCCAGGCCCAGGGAAAGTCTCTTGTTTCAGTCTAAAGTTTTCCACACAAACACATCATTCTGTATTTTATTTTCCAGACATACTGAAAACCCCCCAGGCCTTTAAAGAAGTGGCTGAACTGAGGAGATCCCGGTGGCCTGGGAGAAGAGATCTGGGTAAAACACTGGGAATCCTGCTTGGACACCTCAACAGGAGCCTGAGGCTTTTCCCCAGGGATTAAGGACCGGTTCTAATGGGAAAGAAACTGAAAATCCAGACTTCCTGGAAGTACCCTACAACAGTCCCCTGAAGACCATCCGGGCCTGAAAAACCTGTGTGCTAGAAGGGAAGGGGGAAAGAAAAAGTCCTGCAGGCTGGGAGGCTGGAAAATTCATCAGCAAGGACACAGGATGGTCAGCGGGGTGGTGGAACCTCCCAGGCTTGGGCCAGCACATCAAGAGCTTTATTCACCCAACAGGGTCTGATTCCAAACTCTGAGGGGCTCTTTGACCCTGCATTTTTCTACAGGAATGGTGGATCCACCACAAGGCCAATGTGGAGGACATTTGGCTTCACTGGAAGGAATCTGGGATTCCCGGATACTGTCCCAGCCCAGCTCAGCCAGGATCTTTTGTGGCATCTCCCTGAGAGGCCTCACCCGGCAGCTCCCCACTCAGCAAGGCCCGGGTTATTTTTGCTGTTGTCTCCATGGGCCTGAAATAATTCTGCTCTTTGACATGCTGGGGATTTTAGTTTTGTGACTTGAGGCTGAGTTTTACCAGGGACCCTTTTGGATTGCCCAAACCAGCCTGGTATTCCCAGCTCCTCCATGTTCCACATACTGGGAGGTGCAGGGAGCATTGCGAGGGATGATGTCACCCTCTGCCTAATAATTGTTTCCTTTTTGCTAGCTTTTATATAAGTTCTTTAACAGAATTGCTGTAATGTAATTGTTTGATATTGTACATTATATTATGTTTGTAGTTTTAGCTCCTACACCGTGTAGGAAACTAATCTAATTAAGATATTTTTTGTCTAATCATTACCACAATAAATCATATATATTTACATACATAGGATATATATTATACATATCATATAATAGATAATATATAATAATACATTATATAATGTATATTATATATAAAATACAATATATATTACATAATTATATTATTATACAAAATTTTTATATTTTCATAAGGATATACATAATATATGACAATATAAAAATTTATAAATTAATGAATGAATAGGTATATTAATTATTAATTAATGGTATTAATTTATATAATATTGCTGTATATTTATGTGATTACATAATAGATTATTATATTATATATTACTTATATACTTATATTAATATTTAAGTATAATATAATATAAAACTGAATACTATATATAATAATAAAATACAATATTATAGCATTATATATATTACATAATCATACTAAGATATTTGTTATAGATATTATTTATATACATTAATTTAATTATGTAATATGTAATATATAACATACAGTAACATGTTATTATATAATAATGTATTTAAATTATTATATATTACATAATAATATTAAGATATATGTTAAGATATGTTATTTATATATTACAATATAGTTATAATACATCAATATAATTATATTATAACTATATTAAGATATATTTATAGATATTATTTGTATACATTAATTTAATTATATGACTATATTAATGGTGATTAATGATGATTAATTTAGTTATATATGACCTGCCAGTCTCAATCCTGCAGGACAAAGCTGCACAGAGGCTCGGCCACACCCCTTGATTCCCCAGACTTAAAGCACTGCTCAGGTCTGGGGCTGGGACTGGATCTGGGGAGAAGAGGTTCAGAAACCTGGGATGTCCCTCCTGCACCTCGGGAGCTCCTGTGACCCCCCCCTGCCCTGCCCCGGGCTCACCTGCAGCCGCCAGGTGAGCCGTGACCTCGTCGGCGGCCGTGGAGTTGAGGATGTCGGAGTCGTCGTAGGACGTGTCCTCGGGGGAGGAGGGCGAGTCCTCGTCGGCGCTCAGCATGCCGTGCTCCGTGTAGGTGGCCACGTGCACCTGCTGCACCTGCTGGGCCACGGCGTGCGCCTCGATGGTCGCCATGTGCTCCGCCGGCGCCACGCCGTGCTCTTCCATCAAGAGGCACTGCCAGGGCCAGAAACCACAGCCCCGCATTACGGACCCTGCCGGTGGGTTTTGGCCCGGAGGGACAGAGATCACCCCCCAGCGGTGGCCGTGGGGGTCCAGGAGAAGGAAACGACGACTGCACCGGGAACTTAAAGAGCTTGGAACAATCCACGCCTCCAAAGGACACGGCCCGGCCCCCACAGGCCCCCATCTTTGCTGGAGAAAGATCCTCAGGGATCTCAGAGCCCTCACAAGCTGGACTAAAGGGTCTGATCAAAGCTGGGACTTGGTTGAGCCACCCCAAGGTTCAGCTTTCAGGGAAGATGCCCAAGGGGGACACAAAATCGCCTCTGACCTCAATGGCTCAGGGCACAAACAAGGATGGCAGGACAGAATCCCAAAGTCACTGAGGATGGAAAAGACCTCTGAGATCATGGAGCCCTCCCAGTGCCCGATGCCCACCTTGTCCTCCAGCCCAGAGCACTGAGTGCCACGACCAGGCCTGCCTGGGACACCTCCAGGCCTGGGCACTCCAAACCTCCCTGGGCAGCCCCTGCCAAGGCCTCACCACCCTTGCCAGCAACAAATTCCTCCTCAGGGCCAACCTGAGCCTCCCCTGGCACAGCTTGAGGCCATTTCCCCTTGTCCTGTCCCTGTTCCCTGGGAGCAGAGCCCGACCCCCCCCGGCTCCCCCCTCCTGGCAGGGACTTGCAGAGCCAGAAGGTCCCCCCTGAGCCTCCTTTTCTCCAGGATGAGCCCCCTCAGCTCCCTCAGCTGCTCCTGCTTCTCCAGACCCTTCCCCAGGAGTTCCTGAGGCCACTTCTGCTGCATTATTTGAGTCCAGAAACAGGCAAAATCATCCCGACCCAAGCCCAAACACGACATAAATCTTGTTTATTTAATACATCTGGTGGCAAAGCCCTGAGCAAAGGAGCAGCTTAAACACTCAGCAGGGCCCTGGACCACACGCCGTGAACACAAACCTGTGCAGGAGGAACGGGACAGGAGGCACACGGATATTTTCAGTCCCTGTCTCCCACACGTTCGTGGGAAAGGAACAGCACAGCCTGAAGGTATTTTCAAATAGAAGAATTTTCAAATAGAAGAATTAGGAACCCTCAAAAACAGACTCCCCAAAACCCTCAGGGCAAAGAGGAGAAATAAAGAGATGAGCAGTTGTAGGGAATGACAAAATGTCCCCCCCAAAAAATGTGACCTTGTAAGTACAGTCAGAGAATTAGAGCTCTGGGTTGACTGACACCAGATCATGGAATGCTGTGGAGGGGTGGGTGAGACAGTGGGATAGAGACCAGGAAAAAACACTTTGTCAAGGGGGTTATTTTGACCAAACTAAAAGGAGGTTGGAGCCAGTTTGGTGCTGGTCTCTTCTCCCAAGAAAAGTCACAGGACAAGGAGAAACGGCCTCAAGCTGTGCCAGGGGAGGGTCAGGTTGGATACTGAGGAAAATTCCTTCCTGGAAAGGGCTGTCCAGCCCTGGCACAGCTGCCCAGGGCAGGGGGGAGTCCCCATCCCTGGAGGGATTTCCAAGCCCTGTGGATGTGGCACTTGGGGACAGGGATGAGGGGTGGTCTTGGCAGTGCTGGGGACGGTTGGAATCTCCTCTCCAGGCATACACTGGAGGAACTCAATCCTGAGGGACACTGAAGTGCTGCTGTGACACTGTTCCAAACCTGCTGAGGTTATGGCTCGAGCCAAAGCAGCTTCAAGCTCCCAACCCTCCCTAAAAGGCTGCTGCAGTTCCGTGGTGCTGTCCAAACCCTGTTTACAACTCGGGTTGTAACCTTAGAGCCACCCAAAAATAGCAGGAATTCAAACAGCCCCACTGAGGAAGGGACCCAGGCACTGAGGTACTCAGGAGCAGGTTGAAAAACAATCGCTCCTGTTCTCCTTCCAAGGATCTTGTTTTGTTGCCATCACCACAGAAAAATGGGGAGAATATTCCAAGCAAATCCTTGCTCAGCACCAGGGTTTCCCAAGCCACTGTGCTTCTCCTGAAAGGGTTATTGCAATACAACTCTAATTACTTCTATTAAAATTAAAATGTAAACCCCCCTATTTATCCACATGCTCAGAATATAACTGACAAAGTGTGATAACCTGTCAGCTCCTCGGGAGACAAGCTGTGAGACAGTGGATGCTCCTGACACCCCTTCCACAGGAAGGAAACCTCCCAGTCAAGAGTCAACACCACTGAAACCTTGGCCAGTCCTTCCTGTATTCCAATCATTCCCACAGGATTCCTGATTCTAGCCAGGCTTTGTGGGCAGACACCGTCACTGGCAGCTCCTGCAGGTGCCCACCCACCTGTGGGTGCCCTTGTTGCCTCAAAGCACCCAAAGGATCTGTACATGGATTTGAACAGGGATCCAGGCACAGGGGACGAAAGCAAAGCTGCTCCTCACTGATTTTAGAGACGAGCATTCATCATTCCAGAAAAGGAAACATCTATTCCTGATTTTCTCCAGAAACAGTTTGGGGAGCGAGGAAACCCCGGTGATACAGCAGGGCCTGCAAAGATGTTTCCTGGGAGTCAGAGCTCAGTCCAGAAGCCACGAGCATTTTTAAACACAAAGTGCTTTAAAAAAAACCAAACCAAGAGGATAAAGTGCCTCTCCTCACACAGTGCAGCTGCCTGACGAGTGTGTCAGAGTCCCTCTGATGTCCTGTCAGCCGGGATCAGTGGCTGTTGACACCGTGGCTGAAGGAGCTCCAGATGCAGGAGGAGCTGGAGGAGCTGGAAGGGCTGAGCTGCACCACCCAAACCAGCAGCAAACACCACAGATTGAACAAAAACCCCCATAAACTCAACACGAAAGACAAAGGGACTGAAATGATGGCAACAATTCATAACTCGAGCTGTAAAACCCACGTGGGTCAGCCCAGCATAAACAGCGTCCTCTGCCACCACCAGCACTTTGGTGGGTGCTTTAAACTGAGCCCAAAATAAAAAGTCCACACTGAACATGATGAGGAACAGCAGCAGGAGTGGAAAAACTCCCTTGCACAGACAGGCCTGGGATTATCTGCGACCTTTACCCCTCTGAAGGGTTTAGTTCAGGGGCTGCAGCAGACACAGAGTGAATGTGGAGATTGGCATTTACCTGCTGGAACGGTAAATTGTGACAATAAATCATAATAAACCATTTTTACTAACTCATCCAACACCTCATTCACCTGAAACCCTGTTCAGATTAGCAATAATTTTTTTTCTAGTGAAACATCTGCCCCTCCGGAAACTGCACAAGGTTTTGGATGGGACTGGCTTTCCAGGAGTGGAGACGTGGACTCCTGTCCCAGCACAGCCCATCCCTGGCCCAGAGGTGACAGAAGGCAGCGGTTTGCACCCCTGCTGTGAAGGCTGAAGTGATCATCTAATTTTCCATGTCACAGAGATGGGGTAACTCAGAGGAACAGCAGGAACCAGCTCTTGTTCCACAGCGTCCTCCTGTGGCACAAAACGGGGATAATGATCCTCTTAATTAGGACGGGTTAAAAACACCCCCCTGCGCCCCCAGTCTCAGCAGGGAGGGACCTCAAATCAAAGGCACTGCAGAAAGCAAACCCCAAATCCCTCCTGCTCATCAGAATCTCGCATCGAGGAGCAAACACATCCCACTGCGGGGAAAACTTCAGGGAAAAGGAACAAATTGGGTTTCACAGATGTCTGTCAGGCAGAAAACCTCCTGTTTGCTGCCCAAAGCCACGGTCGGGTGGAGTGACAGGACCCCATTTCATGGCACAGGATGAGATCTGAGCCAGGTCCTTTGGGCAGCCTCATTTGCCATGTTTAGCACCAAACACATCAGGAAACCACGGGGTGAGCACAAGGATGAGTTCTGAGTCTCCTTGGAGACTCTTCTCAAGCTCTGGCACCAAAAAATAGCACCCCAGCAGAACCAACCCTATCCACGAGGACACCGAGGAGAAAGGCCACATTTAGCATGTGGAAAACCACCACGTGGAAAACCACGGGAAGAGCAACCACCACACCCCAGCCTATTCCAGTTGAGTGCAATCCTACACCACAGGATCACAAAGCCCGGGATGGAATTCCCATTGAACACTCCTGTGCTCCCCCCAGGCTCTGCAGGTCTCAGGTCAGCCAGGGGTGACTCTCCCTGAATCCACCTGTAACACCTGAGCCACAACTTCCTTCCCTGCGAGGTTTTTGCAGGATGTGCAGCTGGACACGAGTTTAGGAAGCATAACATATGATAAATGCCCCTCTCCAAGGTAATGCTTTGGCACCCTAAAGGACCACCCAGAAATCCCGATCCCAAACCCTTCTCCTTCCACCTGCACAGCCCACGAGTCGTTTCAACGTCATTTTAATTGTGTTACTCATCTTTAGTCAACTGAGCTTTTTTAATTAACAGGCAAAGTGGTCTTTTAAGAATTCCCAGTGAGCACAAGTGGCCTGTGGTGCTGGCTCACAGCATTCCTGGCACGGCAGGAAGGCACAGCCCTGGCTCCCCACGGGATTACTGCGGGAAGGACCGAGCACGGCCCCGGCTGCAGCGAGGGGCAAATGTTCCCTCTTTTAATCCTCTTTTATTGAGGGAGAGGATTAGAGGTTATGCTGGACTACCACAGAAAAAGAGGGTGGATGGAGGTGGGTTGTGTGGAGGGCTGGGAGCAGGAGGGAGGTGATGGGACATCGAGCAAGACCCGGAGGTGTGGAGTGTCACAACAGCCCTGGTGTCCAGCAGGATGAGGTGTGGCCAGCCTTGGGGGGATCCCAGAATTATAGGATATCCTGGGCTGGAAAGGACCCTCAAGGATCATTGATCCAACCCCTGGTCCTGCACAGACAACCCAACAATCCCTCCCTGTCCCTCAGAGGATCATCCCAACCCTCCTGCAGCTCTGGCAGCCTTGGGGCTGTGCCCACTGCCCTGGGGAGCCTGTTCAGTGCCAACCACCCTCTGGGGGAAGGACCTTTCCCTGAGATCCACCCTGAGCCTGCCCTGGCACAGCTCCAGCCCTTCCCTGGGG